GCACGGCGGCCACCCGCCGCCCGCGGCCGATGGGCCGCCGCCGCAGTCCCAGCCCAGAGAAGGGCGAGTTGAGGCAACAGTAACTCTCTAGGCCTCCTGATCCCCCTCGTCCTCCTCTTCCTCCTCCTCCTTTCCCCCTCCTCTCTGCTTCCAGGCCTCCTAGCTGGGGTCGGAGTAGATGGGGTCGGAGGATCGCGCCGCAGCGCCGGTGCATCGCCGACGCGGTTCGATGTGGAGCCCGATTTGCTTCACGCCGACGTCGCTGATGCGTCGCCGATGTCGCCGATGCATCGCCGATGTATCGGCGATGCGGTGCGATCTTCCGACCCAATTTACTCCGACCCCATCTAGGAGGCCCCTAGTGGCGAGCAAGGGGGGGAAGTGCGAAGGAGAAGGCCGTCTCAGAGGGCGGCGGGACTTTGCAGAAGCCCGCTCTGGCCTTCTGGGAAGCTTTGCTTGCGTCGTCGGAGGAGGCTTGGAAACAACTTCACGGAAGGCCGTGGGATCTCCGAGCCTTCTGAGATTACCAGCCTCGAACGTATCCCTACCCCTAAGATTGACACGCCAAAAGGCGATGTCAATCTTAGGGGTTCGCCCTCGAAAAATCAGGGAATCCCTAAGATTGGCATCGTGATGAGGAGGTGACCAGCATAGGGATAGGGATGTGTTCCAGGCTGGTAATGAGAGGGCCAGCTCTCCTTCTCAGTTCCCCCCCGTCGCTCGCCGCCGACGAACCGCCTGGCGCCGCAATTGGTTCACAGAAGGGCGTGGGCGCCCGGTGTCGGGCCCCGGGAGCCTTACAGATCGATGCGTCGGATCATGGGACGAAGGCGGGCCTGTCCCTCTGCAGGAGGGAGATGCAACAATAGTAGAGAAATTGCCGGGACGATTCCAAAAAAATCTGGATCATTTTTGAATTTTGGTTTGCCCTTCTTTTTGTTGTTTTATGTGTGTTTTCCCTTTTTTCTCGAATACCGGCCTGTAGGAGGACACGCCCAACCTAAGAGAACTGTCAGGAGGGGAGAAGAAAAGACACACAGACAGAGCTTGATCGTCGATTCCTAGGACCACGCGGGAAGTACATTGGACATGAAGGCGAAGACGAGCATCCAAAGAGTATTGAACATATGCTTGAGATTAGTGTGTGTATTTAGAGCGTGTTTCTTTATTGCTTGGGGCATAATGGTCATTATAGTCCCCGACCCCCCCTCCCCCCCCCCACAACGTAGCGCCCCCCCCCCCCCCCCAGTGCGCTCGGGGCACTGCCGCCGTGCGCACGGCGGGGGGAGGCGTTACATTATACCCCCCCCCGGCCCCTCCCACCCCCCTATAATGCCCATTATCGCCGAAAACAAAGAAACGAACGCGCTCCTACTCCTGTGGCCCGGGCCCCGGGCTCCCTCTGTGCTTTGGCCTTCTGGAGGGGATCCCTTGCCGCCACGGCCGTGGACGCAGCTCGGAGGCCCGGCGCGCCGCTCGGGCCCCCCGGGGTGGGGCCTGGCCGGGGAAGAGCGGGAGCCTCCAGACGGGGATCCATGCAAACGCAGGGGGGGGACGAAAACATACAGACACAAGCGATCGTCATTCCCCAGGAAGATACGGGAAGTGGGGGGGGGAAGGCGAACATCCAGAGCATATCTTAAAACATCGGACATCCTAGGACGTGTGTTTATCTGTTTGTGTGTGTCCCAGGGGGCCCCTTTCAGAACGGGGTCAGCCAGAGCGCCAGAGCCTGCAGGATCCTGCAGAGCACGACCGGCCCAGGCTCCCATGGGCACGGGCCAGTGCGTTTCCGAGGGGAGCGGCTTCGAGCTGCCGTTGCCTCGAGCTGCGAGTGGGAGATCGGCCACAGAATCGACGTGCCCCGAGCCTGTCTTCCCGCCGAACCTACCAAGGCGCGGAATGCTCGCGGAGATCTCCCAAGCATGTGCGCGTTGTTTCTTCGTTCGCAGATCCTGCGAGAGGTGCAGTTCTGGGGCCGAGCGTCGATCGTGTGGCCGAGCCCCTGCTCGCCCACTCTCGCCCTGCTCCGACCAGCTCGTCCTCCAGCTCCTCCTCGTCGAGCCCGCGCCCCCGGCGGCGCAGCGCCGCCGCCGGGGCCCGCGGCGCGCCCGCCGGCGGGGCCGTGGTGGTGCTCGGCAGCGACAGCTCCCCGGGCGTGCGCCACGGCCCGCGGCGCCGGCGGCGCGGCCCGAGCTCGAGCTCTGGGAGCCGGGCGCCGCGGCGGGCGGCGGCGGCGGGCCGCGGTGTTCCAGGGAGGGGAAGGCAGCCACGAGCTGAGGGTCCCTCCTCGTCCTCCTCCTCGTCCTCCTCCCCCCTCCTGCCGCATCGCAGATACATCAGCGATGCGGCTCCATTGTGGGGAGCCCGGTGTTCTCAACGCCGACATGGCGGGTGCATCGCCGACGTCGCCGGTGCATGACCGATGCATCGGCGATGCATTGGCGATGCGGCGAGATCCTCCGACCCCATCTACTCCGACCCCATCTAGGAGGCCTCCATATGTGCAGAGGGGGATGGGGGCTGGGGGGAGGGCTTCTCAGAAGGCGCGGGCCTATGTGTCACTATAGGTGTAGGGCCGGCGCCTTCCAAGAAGCAGCCTCCTTCTGAGAAGCCGTCCCCCTCCCCTAATCCCCTTGCGCGCGCCGCACAAAGATATTGATGCCGCCGCACTTTCCTCGACTACGCGAAAGGGTGACCCTTCGCCAGAGCGACCTTCGGAACAGGCTCACAGGGGTCGCCCCAGCAGTAGCCTGCACGTTTGGATCTGTTCCTCCCACTGCCCCCTTACAGTTGCGCATCAGAGGTCACTCTTGCCTGGGGTCACTCTTGCGTGAGGTCGAACAGATTCTGATGACGCTGCCCTTCTCGGAGATCTGGGCGTTGCACTCTTGTTGCCGCACCCGAGCGTTTTCGCTCAGTTTGGGGCCCGGGGCCCCCACAGACCGATCCGGCTCGAAGAACGGCGCAGAAAGATGGGGTCTAGGGCTCCAGTGATGATGTTTCGCGATGCTGCCATTCTTGTGCGTCTTCGGGTCCAGACCCAGACCTGCTCAAGGAAGGTGCAGACCCTCTCTCGCTCTCCCTCTGTCGTGCTCTCGTGCGGCGCAGCTTCTCGTGCGGCGCAGCTCCGCCGGGCCTCGGGCTTTCGGCGAGGGGGCTCTCGCGCCCTTGGCCCGCGCCCTCCGCGGCCACGCTTCGAAGGATCCCCTCCGCTCCTGAGGACGCGCCCGTCCGATTGCCATCGCCTCCTGGGCCAAACGCCAACCGCTACACCCATCAGAAGTCTTAAGAACAACACAAATCCTCTGTCGTTCTCTCGCTCGGGATGGTGAGGATGAGGATGAGGATCAGAACAGGGATCGAGGGCTGCTACGTCATAGGAAAAACCCAAGTACTCGCAGCGCTCCTTCATTGCAATGCTTGCCCGCGACTTGATTATTACTACCATGGTCCTCTTCTCATCGCTCTCACTATCATTGCAAGGTCCTCCTTGTCGAACAGCGTTGGGTGGGTGCGAATGCAGCGAGAAAGAAAACATGCAAAGGGAGAGAAATGGCCGAAGAGGAAAGCACGGATCGAAGCCCCAGGAACGCACCAACGCACCCCCACGATCCCCTGGCCTTCACCACGGCTGGATCCGCCTCGGAGTTCTGGGCCGAGCACTCCGCGGCATCGGTGCAGTCCGGACGCTGACATAAGGACCGCTTCGGGAACCCAGGAGGGGCTCGGTTTTCCAGGCCGCTCCGTAAGACCTAAGATCGCGGAACCTGCTTGTGGCCTACGTCCGCCCGTGGCCAGAAAAGCCCCTTCGTCTATTATGCGTTCTTTGTGTTATGAAGTTCCAACCTGCTCTGTCTTTGATCGCCAGAGATAATCTCGAGCACCTCGAAAGTACAGAAAATTGAGGGTTTCCACGTGTCGGGACCTAAAAGGCGATACTCGTTCGACACTGTTTCGATAGACTTCTGGGTTCTCGAACGTATTTCTGGGATGTGGCCCTTCTGCACGATGGGAGCAACATAGTCCTTGCGGTAGCACGATGACCTGCCTGTGGCCTGGGTCCGCCGGTAGGCAGAGACAGCTCCTTCGTCCATCATGCGTTCCTTGCCCAGACCTCCGACGTCCTGAGTTTTTCATGACGGGGACCCCACAGCGGTCTGGATCCCTTCCCCGGGACCGGCTTTGCGTCCCGAGTCGTTTGTTGTTGACGGCCCCGAGGGCCGGCAAAGGCCCCCAGGAGCCGAACGTGGCGAACCCTTCCTCGTCGTGATTTGTCCATCACCCGAGGGGCTCTGGGTGAGCACGATGGCTGCAGCCGTTTGTTCCCCCCAGGCGGCGGGCGCGGCGGCGCCCCGCGGAGCCGATCGCGCCGCCTGCCCGCGCGGCCGCGGGGCGGCGGCGAGCCGCCGCTGCCGGCCTACGCGCTGGCGTACCTGCCGCAGGCGGCGCTGGACAGCTTCGCTGCGGCGTCCGAGCGGCCCCGCTCGGAGCCCTCCTCCTGCTCGTCCTCCTCTTCCTCCTCCTCCTCCTCCTGCTCCTCCTCTTCCTTCTCCTCCCTCCTCCTCCTCCTGCTCCTCCTCCTCCACCTGCTCCTCCTGCTTCGCTCCTCCTCCTCCTCTTGCCCCTCCTCCTCCTCCTCCTCCTGCTCCTCCTCTTCGAGGGCGAGGATGTTGACGGAGGAGTGTATCTCGATGATGATCGCCGAGAGCTTGCAGCAGCCAGAAGAGCCCGACAAATTCAATGGGCAGGTGCTTGTCTTGCTGTCATTTCAGGAGGTCAATGGCTAAAGAGTCGCGTCGCCGAGATTTGCAAGCCACCTGAGTCTTCTGTCCAGTGTGATCGATGTGGAGAAGAGAAAGAGACGCTTTTCCATAGAGTTTGGGGCTGCATGTGTAACGAGGAGGTGGCGGCGGCGAAGACCTCGAATTATTTACCACCTCGAGCTTAGACACAGCACGAGGCGCATCCTGCAGTCTGGCTTCGAGGTCTGTCCCCCGATGAGTTGGATTGACGTGCCAGACCCTCCTCAGGAGCAGGCGGCCGAGATCAAGTGCCACGGACAGTGGCCAAGCGATGCAGATTTTCTTGTCGGTGCGGGATATGCTTCATGCGGTCAGCACACAGAGTCCAGCTTCTTGCGCCGAGTGGCCTGGGCTTACGTCGTATTCCAGCCCTTCTCCCTCGCCAGCCCGACGCCCAAGCTCGACTTGGCGAAACAGTCGGCAGGAGTAGTCTGGGGCGCCCAGACCATCAATCACGGAGAATTGCTGTCGTTCCTGATGTTCCTAGAAGGGGCCCCATGAGCCCGCGATTGATCTACGTCGCCGATTCCATGTACGTGTCCCTGAATGCCCTCAGAGTCAGTGGCAACCAGTTTCCAGACCAGTACGTTAATGAGTGGATCAGGGTCCAGGCTGTCATGAAAACCAGGGAATCAGGAGTATCAAAATCGAGGCACACATGAGCTCCGAGATGGCGGCGCTGAAACACACGCAGGCGTTCGCTTTTGTAGGGAATCATATTGCGGACATGTTGGCTGACGCTGCAGCCAAGAGAGTCCAATAAAGGCGTTGTTGAGAGCCAAGAGAACCATGCCTTATTGAGACCAATAAAGTGAACTTGGCCTTCCCTAGGGCCGTGCGGGGTAGAACCACCGAGATTTTCCTGAGCAGATTCCAGGCGCCCGACGAGAGTGCCCCCCTAAAGCCAAACGACCAACTTGCGATAGATCCTTGCGTAAGCCTCGGGCCAAGGCCGCGGTTTGTCTGGCCCATAGGGGACAAGTTTCAGCGTTCAAGGTCCGAGAGCCCCCATGATTCAGTTCTTATAGTAGCAATGTGTGTTCCCGTGGGCCCCTGGCGTGGCTCTGCGTCGGCCCCTGGCGCCTGCGCGATTGAGCGAGCCTTCACAGGAGCCTCCTGCGTCCACGAGGCACACCAGATGGTGGTCATTAGCAAAGGCGCTTTCATTTGTGCGCCCTGCGACGCCCACGCCGTCCGCAGCTCACAGAACCTTACGAAGGAGTGTGCCCCAGCCACAGGAGTTGGGAAGACGGCACTTTCGAAAATCGTGAAGGGTTCACTTTCGTGTTGCAGCGCCCTGCTCCCAAGGAACAGGCTTAGGCCCATTTTTTTGAAACGACCACTGGTCAGCATCGGGGTCCTCGTCCTCGTCCTCCTCCTCCTCCTCCTCCTCCTCTTCTTTCTTCTTCTCCCTCCTCCTGCTGCTCCTCCTCCTCCCTCCTCCTCCTGCTCCTCTCCCCCCTCCTCCTCCTCCTCCTCCTCCTCCTCCTCCTCCTCCTCCTCCTCCTGCTCCCTCCCTCCGGCTCTTGCCTCGGAACCGGGCGGGCCGCGGAAAGGTTACCGCTAGGTCGGGCGTGTCCGCCGACAGGCGGATTCTGGACGACAGTCGAAACATCGTCTAAAAGTAGTAACACAAATGGCCAACAGTATTCAAACACATCGTCCCCGTGTTTTTTGTTTGAATATGCTTGCATTTTCCTCCTGTAGAAGGACATGCCCGACGTCAGGTCCCCGCTGGGAGTCCTGGGCCCGGGGTCAGCGCGCGGGGGCACCCCAGCGGTCGGGGGCCCCCCAGCCCAGATCCCCCTCGGGTCAGGAGAAGTCATGACGTGAGGTGCTTTGCCGCGCTAAAAGTCGGACATGTCCCTCTACACGAGGAATATTCAAAACTATTGTAAAAGATGGTTTCGGGCATATTCTCTGGCTTACGCCACACCTCCGACCCCTTGGGGTGCTTTGTTTGGGTGCGTCGTTTTTTTTGTGGGGCGGGCCCTGGGAAGTCCGGCTGCAGATGCAGGCTTTGTGGTGTACGTGTGCGTTTCCGGGTAGGGGTGGGGTGATGGGGGGTCTCAAAGTGTCATGTGTTAGTGTTCCGCGCGCGTTGTTCCATCGAGTGGCGCAGTATGGGTTGCTAGCGGAGCCTCTGGGGGGTTTCTTGGGGGTTCCTTGGGGCGTCTTGGGGGCCTCTTGGAAGCCTCTGGCGGCCTCTTGGGGCACTCTTGGGGCCCCCTGGGGCTCGAGAGGGGGCGGAAAGCTAGATGTTTTGAATTGTTGGTCGCCCTCTGGGGCCCCTCTTGGTGCCGTCTTGGAGCCCTCTTGGGCCGTCTTGGGGACCTCTTGGGCCGTCTTGGGGCTATCTTGGGCCGTCTTGGGGCCGTCTCGGGGGCCTCTTGGGCTGTCTTGGGGCTGTCTGCTGTGGGCGGAACGGGAAGGCGGATGCAGAGAATCGCAAGCGAAAAGCAGAGGCGGGCGCGAAGCCACTGACGCGCGCGGCGTGCAGAGGAGCGTTCTCGGACACGAAACATTCGAAGCAGACGCAAGTGGAATAGCATCGACAGGCAAAAGGAGCCAAAGTGGTGTGCGGAGCCTGTAAGACACTCGGGCTCTCAGCGCGCAGTTGCCAGGCGTATCAGTGTAACGGCCCGTGCAAGAGAAGACTACCGAAGTCGGCGTTCTCCGTGAACCCTACCAATGTCGCGCGCGACGAAAAGAAGGGCACCCTGAAGTGCAAGACATGCAAATGATGACCAATCGGGCGCGCGTGCTGGGGAGGAAAAGGAGGACGGGGAGAGAAGCATGGGGGGTGAGGCGGAGGATGGGGGGGACAAGAATCGAAGAGGATGAGGATGAGGTGGAGGGGGGAAGAGGAGGAGGGGGACGAGGAGGAGGTGGAGGAGGAGGAGGAGGGGGAGGATGAGGAGGAGGACGAGGGGGACACAGAGAGGAGGCTCTGGGCTATGGGTTATGGGTTAGAGGCTTCTTGTATGTGTATCGGGATCTCGCGGCACGCCTCTCGGGGGCTTCTCGGAGGCAGTTTTGAAACCATTTGGGGGCCGAGGTGGAGGAGAAGGGGGAGGAGGAGGAGGGGGGCACAATGAGGAGGCTCTGGGTCATGGTTCTGGGTTAGAAGCTTCTTGCATGTGTACCGGGATCTCGCGCCACGCCTCCTCGGGTGCCTCTGGAAGGCAGTTTTGAAGCCACTTGGGAGCCGTTTCGGAGCTTTTGGGGGTCTTTTTGGGGGGTCCTGGGGGCCTCTTGGGGGCTCCTTGGGGCGTCTTGGGGGCCTCTTGGGGGCCTCTGGCGGCCTCTTGGGGCACTCTTGGGGCCCCCTGGGGCTCGAGAGGGGGCGGAAAGCTAGATGTTTTGAATTTTTGGTCGCCCTCTGGGGCCCCTCTTGGTGCCGTCTTGGAGCCCTCTTGGGCCGTCTTGGGGACCTCTTGGGCCGTCTTGGGGCTATCTTGGGCCGTCTTGGGGCCGTCTCGGGGGCCTATTGGGCCGTCTTGGGGCTGTCTTCGGGGCCTCTTGGGCCGTCTTGGAACGTCGGGAAGCCGAAAAGGCGAAAAACAAAAACTGACAATTAACAATTTTAGCCTCTCGGGGCCCTCTTGGGAGGCTTGTTTGGGACCTCTGGGGCCGTCTTGGAGGCCTTTTGGCCCGTCTTGGGACCATCTTGGGCGTCTTGGAGCGCTCGTTTAGCGCCCTGGGGCCCTCGTGGGCCGTCTTGGAACCCTCTTGGGGCCTTTCTTGGCCCATCTTTAAGCCCTCTGGGCCCGGAAGAAGCCGTGGCGCGCTCGTCGGGCCCCCCCCCCCCCCCTCCAAATCGACCGGACCAGGCTCCCTGGGGAGGGGTCTGGGGAGGGGGAACCATCTCACACGCCGATAATCCCCAAGGGGTCGGCGGATTTTTCGACTAGCGCTGACCAGTTCAGAATCTGTTTTGACAATTCTTAATGTCTCATCCCAAATCCGCCTGTAGGAGGACGTGCCCGACCTGACGCTATATTCGGCTTCCGGGGGGCCCTCACCCAGCCTCGGGGCCGGGGCCGCCAAAAAAACGACTCGGGACGAGAAGTCGGTCCTGGGGAATGGGTCGCGGTCGCTGGGGCTCACGCCATGAAACTCATGACGTCGGGGGTCTGGGAACGGCGCGGTGGCATCACGGATCGTGGTGAGTTGCAGTGGGGATTCGGGGTCACCGTTCGGTTTAGGGATTCGGGATGTCTCGAGCGATTGGGGCCTCCCAGGTCCCAGAACCACGCGGTGGCGGACTAACCGGTGCGGTCTTTGGGGGTTCCGAGGGGTCGCCACGCGGTCTGTCACCACACGGCTTCGGGATCCCTAAACAGGGCCTTTCGGTCCAACTTTGCGCGGGAAATTTCCGCGCGGGACGTCCCAGGGCATGGGCGGTGTCGCCGACGCGGGAGGGAGAAGGAGTATCAATGACGCGCGCGTTGTCTGTCAAGTTGTGCGCTGTACCCGTTCGCTTTCTGTGCGCGAGCCTGCTACTTCCTCAGCAGTAGCACGCTGATGGGATCGCTGTACCAGCGTGACATTAGTGCTGCTCCTGCTTTCCGACCGACGGCGTTGGGCCCATTGCGGCGTGGCCCCCTCAGGAGACGGGGCTGCCGCTGCTGGGGGAGCTCTGCGATGCCTGAGATCCGACGCTGCGGAAACAAAGCAGCATCTCGACTGGAACCCTCGGCCCAATCTTTCTATAGGGTACTCTTTCAGGAGGGGAAATATCACAGACACAATTAATCGTCGACTCCCAGGAAAATATGGGAAAGTATGGGAAGTGGTGGGGAAGACGAGGATCCGGAAAATATGGCAAAATATGGGGAGACCTGGGATTTGTTTTGAATTTTTTGTGTCCTTGGGCCCCTTCAATTCTTCGAGCATCGGATCGATCTGTGCCGGCCCAAAAACCCAACGCTGGACAAGAGCGCCCGCTATGAAGCAAATGCGACGCCGGGATCTCAGGGATGCCCCCGGGGCGCGCTGGGAGTACGTGCTCAAGGACGAGGCTCAGGGGCAACGATCAAGGGGGGATAGGCATAGGGGGGGACGCATCGACCCCCAATCGCCCACTGATCGCCGATGGGGGCCCGATAGCCCCCACCTGCCCAGGAACGTGCGGAATCACATAGCAGAGGCCTATCGCCGATCTATCGGCGATGCATCGCCGAGTCCAGGTCGAGGTGTCCCCCCTATTCCCCCCTATCCCTACCCCTATCCCCTACCCCTATCCCCTATCCCTACCCCCCCCTATCCTCCCCTATCCCTATCCTATCCCCCGCGAGGTCGATGTTTCCCCCCCTATCCCTATACCCCCCCTGTCGTTGCCCCTTAGAGGCGCGCAGGTGCTTCGCCGGCCACCTGCGAGCGCCCCTCTCGCGGCAGCGGCGGGCGGAGTTCTTCCAGGCTCGGGAGGGGGCAACAGCGCACAGACACGATTTGAATAGTCGACCCCGAGGAGGAGCTGGGAAACTAGGGGAAGTGGGGGGGAGGAGACGAAAGCCACGGGATAATGGGGAAAGATGGGGAGTCCTTGGATTTGTGTCCCCAGATCCCCGACGTCATGATTTTTTCACAACGTCCCCGACGTCATGATTTTTTCACAACGTCGGAGCCCAGAGGTCTGAAAGAGCGCGTTCTGTGGTCGCTTGGAGGTGGGGGGGGTTAGAACCGGACCCCCACCCCTGGATGGAAAGGGGGGTTTTCGAACACCCCCCCTCCTGTGACGGAGGGGGGGGGTTCAAACCTCCCCCCCCCCCTCCCCCCCCTCCCGTGACGGGAAGGGGTTCAACCCCCCCCCCTTTGCTTCCCCTCTCCTCGGGCCGGCGCTTGCGTCGGCGGCGGCTGGCGACGGCGGCGGGGACAACGATTTCCATTTCTGGGCCGGCGCCAGCCGGCGCCTGCGGCGGCGGGCGGCGGTGGCGGGGAGCGTCGACGAGGACGGCGGTGGTGGTGGTGGTGGTGGTGGTGGTGGTGGTGGGTTATGGTGGTTGTGGTGGTAGCGGTGGTGGTGGTTGTGGTTTGGTGGTGGTGTGGTGGTGGTTTGTGGTGGTGGTGGTGGGTTTTGGTGGTGGTGGTGGTTTGGTGGTGGTGTGGTGGTGGTTTGTGGTGGTGGTGGTGTTGGTGGTGGTGGGTTGTGGTTGTGGCGGTGGTTTGTGGAAGTGATGCTGGTGGTGGTGGTGGCGGTGGTTGTGGTGGTGTGGTGGTTTGTGGTGGTAGTGGTGGTGGGTCGTGCTGCTGGTAGTTAGTGGTGGTGGTTGTGGCGGCGGCGGTGGTGGTCTGGTAGATTGTGGTGGTGGTGGTTGTGGTGGTGTTTTTTTTTTTTGTGGTGGTGGTGGTGGTGATGATGAGTTGTGGTGGTGGTGGTGGTTGTGGTGGTGTGGTGGTGGTTGTGGTGGTGGTGGTGGGTTGTGGCCGTGGCGGTGGTTTGTGGACGTTTGTTGTGGTGGTGGTGGTGGTGGCGGTGGTGGTGTGATGGTGGTGTGGTGGTTTGTGGTGGTGGCGGTGGGTTGTGCTGCTGGTAGTGGTTGTGGCGGTGGTGGTGGTGGTGTGGTAGAATGTGGTGGTGCTGGTGGTGGTAGTGGTGGTGGGTGTTTGTGGTGGTGGTGGTGGTGATGGTGAGCTGTGGTGGTGGTTGTAGTGGTGGCTGTAATGGTGGTGGTGGTGGTTTTGTGGTGCTGTTGGTTGTGGTAGTGGTGGTGGTGGTGGTGGTGGTGGTGGTGGTGGTGGTGGTGGTGGTGGGTTGAGGTGGTGGTGGTGGTGGTGGTAATCGTCGCTGCGTCCCCGCCGTCGCCGGCGCGAGGGGGGGGGGTGTTAGATCAGCCCCCCCCTCCCGGCGCCAGGGGGGCGGGAGGTGGGGGGTTTGAAATCCCCCCCTCTGGTCATCGTCGCTGCCTTCCCGCCGTGGGCACTGCTGGCGCCAGCGCGGGCGCCGGCGCCAGCGCCGAGGGGGTGGGGGGGTTGAAACCCACCCCTGGGAAGGGGGGGAGGGGGGGAGGGTTGAAACCCCCCACCCCCCCTGGGGATTCGGGAGGGGAGGGGCTTGGGGGGAAGGGGGGTCCCCCTGGTTTTGATAGACGGCGCCGACTGTTGGGGGGGGGTGGGGGGCCCCCCCCCGGTTTGAAACGCGCCGCCGAACGTTCCCAAGGCAAGCGCCCGTGAAACGCGTTCTTTCAGAGGTCTGGAACCCTTCCCCGGGACCGTCGTCCTGAATCGTTTTTTCACGGTCCTGAGGGCCGGAGAGGACCCCCAGAGGCCGAAAATTATGAAAAACCTCCCGTCGTGATTTCTTCGTAGCGCGAGGAGGTTTGAGTCTATTTGGTTGTGTGTCCCTGGGCCCCTCTGGAGGCGGCGCGCGACGGCACGGCCTGGGCACGGCCCCGCGACATGCCCCGCGCCACGGCGTGGATGGTGGCCAGGCAGGGCCGCACGTGCACGATCTGATTCGACACGATTCGCTTCGCCGGCCGGGGCCCCGATTCCGATTCGATTCGATTCGGCTCAAGTCCCAGACCTCCTCGCGTTATGACAAAACATCACGACGGGAGGTTGTTCGTCACTTTCGGCCTCTGGGGCCCTTCTGCGGCCCCCGGGACCGGGAACAAAACGATTTAGGACGACAGACAGACCGGTCCCGGGGAAGGGGTCCAGACCTCTGGGGGTCGACGTTGTGAACATATCATGGCGTCGGGGATTTGGGTTGGCATCGGTCGTGGCCAGCCGGGGCCGGCCTCGGCGATCCGATGCCGATCCGGCTGCGATCATGCGGCGGCCCGAGCCGCTGCCTTTGTCCGATGCGGTCTCGCGGATCGACAGCCAGCTCGGAGCTGCCAGGGGCTGCTCCTGCAGCTACCGCTACGGGGGCTTTGAGGCCCGGCGAGAGAAGTCAAGCAGTGGCGAAGCGTCCTGGCTTGCCCATAAGCCCAAAAAGCAATGTTCTAAGAACCTTTTTGTGTTTTCGACGAGATGCTCTCAGGACAGTTCTGGCCGATGTTGTTTTGTTTGAACACATCGGGCTTGTGGTCTAAGAACTTTTGTTTTGATTCTTAGAACATTTTGCGGTTTTAAGAACCTTTCGCCGTAGGCCTATAGGAATGCTGGGACGGTCGGTCCCTGCTCAAAGAAGAGCGGTGCAGATTGATGTTTCCCGCCATCGGGAACGCCTGTTCCGGGGCGGCCGGAGAGTTTACACCCCTACGGCGGCACGGTGGCACGTCGGGGCGTCGATGTTCCAGTCGCCGTGAGAGAGGCGTTCCCGAGGGCGGAGCGGCTGTTCTTTACGGTTCTTCGTCCGCCAAGAGGTGGAGCCGCAGGAGTTTCCCCCCTGGATGCGCGACATCATGTCGGCCACGATGCCCCTGTGCGGGCTGCGGCCAGACGAGTGGCCAAACTCCTGCAACCTGAACCTGTACGACACCGGCTGCTCGACCGTGGCCTGGCACGCCGACGACGAGCCGCTGTTCAACGGCAAGTTCCAGGACATCAGGATTCTGTCGCTGTCGCTCGGCACGACGCGTTCCTTCGAGTTGCGCGCGAACCAGCAGAACGAGTCTCGGGCCACGGCGCGCATGGCGCTCGCCGACGGGGACCTGTGCACGATGGAGGGCATGACCCAGAAGCACTACCAGCACCGCGTGCCGATGGAGAGTGCCGTGGAGGGACCGCGCATCAACCTGACCTGGCGGTGGGTGGTCAGGCACTCGCCCATGCCAGGGGAAGGAGAAGCGACTCCACCACCACCACCACCAGCGGGCCACCTCTGGCGAGCAGGCCACGGCACGGACCCCCAGCGGCCTGGACCCATTCCCCTGGACTCGTTTCTCATCCTAATTCATTTCTGACGGTCCCGACGACCAGGCCGAAAACAGTGACACACCTCCCGTCGTGATTTTTGCATGACCCGATGACGGTCTGTGCAGACTGGGTCTGCCTCGAGCGGCACGCCGCAGAAGTCACGACGGCCAGCCACCAGGAGAGCGCCCTCCTGCGCCCCGCGGCGGTGGTGGCGGTGCCGAGCCTCTCTTTGCTCCTGCCGTGTGCCCCGCCGGGCGAACACGCCTTGCGTAGCCGCGCCTGGCTCGTCCGAGGCGCTGGCCAAATGTCGACGTCTCCGTCCCCGCTTCGGGTGCCTCAAACGGTGCAGTCTACAAGGGGTGCGAGGTTCGAGGTTCCGGGTTCGAAACGAGTTCTTAAATTTTCATTGTTGTGCTTTCTCTGGGCTCCGGGGCCGTTGACGGGCCCCGAGACGGTCAAAAACGGATCCGGAATGAAAATCAGCACTAGATGGACCCTGGGAGGGGGCAGCCGATTTTGAGCGGCTCGGGGTTCCGGGGCCGTTTTCGGGCCCCGTTTCCCACGACTTCGGCGTTGACAGGGAAATCAACTCTTTTACTAATCCAGCGAAGTGATGCTATGACCCAGATAAATTTTGTTGTCGCATGTCTTCGTTTAATAAATCGCCGAGCACTTAGCAAACAGAAAGGTGAGATATAATCATGTGTCTTGTACTTGTATGTTATGTGTCAGACTTGCGTACACCATGGTCATCCCACTGATTTTCCGAATCGAGCATGTTTGTAAAAGCGTTTACCAACTCCCGAAATCACTTATAGAGTTAGCTTGGTGGTTGCAACAGGTCACTGACGGGTTACGTCAGGTTACGAAATGGTTAGGTGCAGGTTAGGTTTAGGTTGCATTCAGGTTGACTTAACCCTGTAAACATATTCGGGTTACGTCGTTCAGGTTATCATAACCCTTCAAGCATCTCTCTAGGAGGAGGAGGAGGAGGAGGAGGAGGAGGAGGAGAAGGCCAGCAGGAAGAGGACGAGGAGAAGGAGGAGGAGGAGGACGACAAGGGAAAAGGAGATGGGAGGAGGAGGGGGAGAAGGATGGGGGGCAGGAGGAGGAGGAGGAGGGGCTCACACAACTCACGCCAGGAGGTGAGTCGTTCGGACCCCTCTGGAGTTGGAGGAGGAGGAGGAGGAGGAGGACGACGACGACGACGACGACGAGGACGAGGACGAGGAGGGGCAGCAGGAAAAGGAGGAAGGAGGAGGACGAGGGAGGAGAAGGAGGCAAGAGGGGCAGGAGGAGGGGCAGGAGGAGGAGGAGGAGGAGAAGGAGGAGGAGGAGGAGGAGGAGGGGGCCGGAGGCCGTTGCTTGACAGACGCCAGACAGATGCCGGATAGATGCCAGACAGACGCCGGATAGATCATTACGTCTATCCGGCGGCCATCCGGCATCTATCATCTGGCATTTGTCCGCCATCTATCCGGCATTTGTCCGGCGTCTGTCCGGCAATGGCCTCTGGCCCCTCCGAATTTGTTTGGGACATCGCGGAAATCAGCGGAACAAATGTTGGGGGAACATATGAAATTCGGTGCTGCATTCTCTTCTTCCTCCTCCTCATCCTCCTCCTGCCTCCTCCTCCCTCCTCCTCCCGCTTCTCCTCTTCCTTCCCCTCCTCCTCCTCCTCCTCCTCCTCCTCCTCCCCCTCCTCCTCCTTCTCCTCCGCCAAATCCTAAGGGACCCGAACGACTCACCTCCTGGTGTAAGTCGTGCGGGCCCCTCCCCCTCCTCATGCCATCTCCTCCTCCTCCTCCTCCCCTCCTCCTCCTCCTCCTCCTCCTCGTCCTCCTCCTCCTCCTCCTCCTCCTCCCCATCCTCGCCCTCCACGCAACGCGCGGGGGTCAGGGCGTGCGAGATGGAGGAGGAACAAGAAGGAGGAGGAGGGAGGAGGAACAAGTAGGAGTAGAAGAAAGGTTTGTCTTTCCTGACACATGCGATTGGCATGAGACAGTGTACGTGTATTTAAATTGTGTGATACGGTGTGATAGTTCGTGTGACCTTTGATGGTGACCTTATGTTCGACCCACCTTACATTTACGTTCCACTTGCGTAACCCTACATGTTACTTACGTTTCACTTACGTAACCCCTACATCTGGGTTGTGCACTGGGGGCCACTTACCAAGTAGGTTGTGATCCAGACGCGCAGCTTAGGATAAGCTGACTTATAAGCTGCTGAAGTGTAAGCTGGTCAACCAGATGCTAAATGGGTACTGCCCCATGTAAGTCTCACGTCTTGGAAAGCCAGACGGTCAAAAACGGATCCGGGGTAAAACTCACCATTAGATGGACCCTGGGAGGGGGCAGCCGATTTGGAGCAGCTCGGGGCTCTGGGGCCGTTTTCGGGCCCCGAGACGGTCAAAAACGGATCTGGGGTGAAAATCTGGACTAGATGGACCCTGGGAGGAGGCAGCCGGTTTTGAGCGGCTCGGGGCTCTGGGACTGTTTTCGGGCCCCGAGACGGTCAAAAACGGATTTGGGGTGAATTTGCATTAGATGGACCCTGGGAGGGGGCAGCCGATTTTGAGCGGCTCGGGGCTCCGGGCCCCGAGACGGTCAAAAACGGATCCGGGGGATAAATCTGCATTAGATGGACCCTGGAACGGGGCGGCCGATTTTGAGCGGATTTGGCTCCATCCCCCCCTGAACATATTTCCTCGGTGCTGTCCAGTTCAGACCGCCCCAGCCGCCTCCAAGACCACACCGCGTGCCGAGTCAGCGTGGATTCGGGGTCACCGCACGGTTTTGGGATTCGGGTCTTCCTCCGAGACGCCTCGTGCGATTGGGACCTCCGAGGCCCCAAAGCGTCGCGCGGCGGCGAACCGCGCGCTCCGTCGCCATCGCCCCCGCCTTTCCCCCACAGCGGCGGGGAATCGAAGAACAGCACATGAGGTTCTGTTACAGCGAACTCAGAAATTGTCGAAGGACCTCTAGAAGTGTATGCTTATTTAGTGTGACATTGCATAAGCACAAACTTTTGGAGGTCCGTGAGGTTTTCTTGGATCAGCGCTGGGGCCCCCCCTGCTGGCGCCGCCCGGGCGCGCCCAGCGCGCCAGGGAGGGGAGTCCAGCGCCGATCCAAAAAACTCCCGCAGACCTCCGAAAGTGCATATTCTAGGCCTCCTAGACGGGGCCGAAGTCGATGGGGTCGGAGGATCGCGCCGCATCGCCGATGCATCGCCGATGCGGCTCGATGGGGAGCGCGATTTGCTTCACGTCGACGTCGCCGATGCATCGCCCACGTCGACGATGCATCGCCGATGCATCGCCAATGTATCGCCGACGTATCGGCGATGTATCGGCGGTGCGGCGCGATCCTCTGACCCTTCTTTACTCCGACCCCATCTAGCAGGCCTCTACATACTCGTGCAGATGTCTTCCTTTCTGTTGCAGAGGTGTTGGACGTGTGATGAGGAGCGGGAAGCGGGGATCGACCCGAGGGACTTGGCATCGCTCGGACGTGTGCATTTTTCCTTCGGCGAGGACCATCGAGGAGCATCCTTGATCATTTGGCGAAAAAACCACGAAGTAAACAGAAAAAAAACAGGGAATGGACGCCCGAGCGATGGCCAGGGGAGACGTGGCAGACCAGCCACAG